GCAAATCTCTGTGATTTTAAGGCCAGCCTAATTTACAGAGGGAGTTCCAGGACAGCCATGAATACACAGAGAAACCATGGGGGGTAATATAAAATCATTATCATCCTTCCTTCAGACCCATCCTTCCATTCCTTCTTTTCTTTATATCCTATTCAATCAAAAGTTTAAGTTTGATGGGAAGCTTTATTTTCCAATGGGATGACCTGGGCTTAGTGCTGTTCTTACGGCTGATGCCACTGGTGTGGTGTAGCTAAACGCTGCCCTGGACACTCCAATCTTGTATTGGAAATGTGGGCAGGGCCTGGATGCTGAGGGAAGGCAGATGAAGTAGTAGACAGGGATTGGCTTAGGGGCCCCTTGTGTAGAGAGGCATTCATTCAGAGGCAGGGTCCTCATCTCTTTTGTCCAGCTTCCTGGGAGTTAGTTTATCCAGAAACTAGGGGGTGTAATGGACTCCCTGCAAGAGGACAGATCTCTCAACAGCCAACCAGCTCCCCGTTATGTGTTATACTGAGCAGAGCACTAGTGCTCTGAACAGCACTAACAGCAGCCAGACACCCACCACCAAAAGCTTCCTGACCTCTGATCACCATGAGTGGGAACTGTCAGTAAATTCAGTTGGCCAAACACTCAGGCTCAGGGTTCCTATCTATCTTCAAATACACCTTTGTTGAGGTTCTGAAGGGGTCTTTATGTGTCCTCCCAAATAGTCAGATTGGTTTGAAAATTAATGCAAAGTAGAAAGGAGTTTGGTCTCTCTGTCTCTGTGTCTCTGTCTCTGTCTCTGTGTCTGTCTCTGTCTCTCTCTCTGTGTGTGTGCTATCTTAGTTTTTAGTTAGCTTGCTATGAAGAGATACCATGACCGTGGCAACTCTTATAAAGGAAAACATTTAATTGAGATGGCTTACAGTTCCAGAGGTTTATTTAGTCCATTATCATCATGGTGGTGTGCAGGCAGACATGGTGCTGGAGAAGGAGCTGAGAATTCTACATCTTTGATCCACAGGCAACAGGAAGTGAACTGTCTCTCATGGTTTGAACATATATGAGACCTCAAAGCCCACCTCCACAGTGACACACTTCCTCCAATAAGTCCACACCTACTCCAACAAGGCCACGCCCCCTAATAGTGCCACTCCCTTTGGGGGCCATTTTCTTTCAAACTGCCACAAGTGCTATTTTTGAACACTGTTTCTCATTTCGTCTCTTACCCAATCCTGGCAGGCCTGAGACACAGATACTTCTTTCTCTAATACATGGATGGAAGATGAAATGTCTCCCAGGTGAGAGAGGTTAAGTAATTTGCCCCAGGTCATTCAGCAAGAAATCATGATGGAATTAAGCAATGCATGCTTACATTTTAAACTGGAGTGACTCTAAATGCTTCTGGATGTAGGTCAGGCTAACAGTTTAGAATTCTAATGTAGTCAAACGTTTAGAAACAAGGTAATTTTAACTGTGCCACTTGTGAGGCTAATCCACCAGCTCTTGGGTATTCACACAGTGTGCTTTGGGCCTCTCTCTTCCTGTCTGCCTCCTCTATTGTTAGTCAGATCTCAATGCCCTTTGCCTGCTCTCCAGTTCTCTCTACACAGAAGGGGGGTGAGATTTTAGAACTAACCTCATTTGTCCCCGACCTAGACCCAATATGTGACCACCAATTCCAGCAAAACCATAGGTCATGATTTCCACTGTCTTCCTCCATCTGTCCTAGCCTTCCGAAGGGCACTGGAAATCATCTAGTGTTATATACCAGAGCAGTAATGAAAATAATAGCATCAGCTGAGCCTAAAGTTTTATCTAGACCTATGCATCAGCTATAACACATCTACTTTGCTCCCTTCAGTCCTTCTAAGTAGAGAAACTGAAGTCAGCTCCGAGGAGCTGCATGGCTTGCCCAAGACCACATATCTAGGACATAAACCTGAAGGAGAATTATCTCAGCGCCCCTCAGTGACTGCTGCTAGGCCTTTTCCAGTGATTCCATTCCCCATCTTTATTAGTCATTTGGAAAAAATTCAAATCTATGAAAAGCTGAAAGACTAGAACAGTGGACACTCATGTACTCTTCATTCATACTCACCAATTCTTAGAATTTGGTTATGCTTGATGTTGAATATTTTACAAAGCTCAGGGAAAACCTTCCAGGATGTCAGGGTGAGCAGACGTCTCCTTGAGGAGCCATCTATGTATTCGTATTTGGCTCTAATAGTCCAAGTCATTGTTTCTGGGGGTATCATGAGTCAGGGCTAAAGGAAACCTATCCCAGATAGCAGATAATACATACATTTCGTGCTGTTTTTTGTTTAAAATCTACACACACACAAACACACACACACACACACACACACACACACACAATTTCCTTGCATACATCTGAGTGTAGGATCTATACACATTGTAGTGCACATTGATTGACTCACATAATCCCATATAACAATATAGCAGCTCCTGTTCAATGGGAAGTTTGGTCCCGAGGTTTCAATTACCCTTCAACATCAGTCTGAACCATTGGTGATATCATCACAAGACAGGAGGGCCTGCGATCTCAGCAGCTGGGAGGCAGAGACAAAGGAACACACACTTCAGGTTAGTTTGGCCTGTTGAGCAAGACCCTATCTTCAAAATAATAATTTTTTTAAAAAAGAATAAAGTACACTCCTATCCAATGTAAATGTTCTGAAAAAGAGGCCACATTCACACACTTTTATCATATATTATGGAAAAATTTTCCGTTTCATGTTTGTCTGTTGTGCTGGCTAGTTTTATATCAATTTGACACACACTAAAGTCATCAGGAAAGTGGGACTCTTGACTCGGAAAATGC